GATTACATACCTCGTCAACCGGAAAACTATCATGGAAAAACCTACAAAAAAACATAATCAAAAAAACCATATCATTAACAAAATAAATAAGGGAATAAACATAATAAAAAGTTTATAAATCATAGAACCAAGCAAAATTAAAAGAAAACAGGAAACTAACGATTTATTGTAACAAAGATCGATCAAAGGATAATAAAGAAAAACAGATACACAAACGAAGCCAATACAAATTCAGAAAATAAAATAGTATTTAGTATTTTTTACGAACCTACACCAACAAACTGGCCGTATATTTGATGGATCTAGTATTACACACGATAACCAATAATAAACACATTATATAATATATGACCTAAACCAAATGTTATATAAGATAAAAAAAAAGTTACCGATAATAATATCTACTATCTATGTAAAATAAAAATCAAACCATTTACAGTTAATAAATCACACAAGTTTTTTTCTTTTTTCAATATCTAAACTGAAAAAATCTATCATATAAATCCATTGTAATTATACCATTCGTAGCTAAACTCATATATAAATATAAACATACATTTTATATAACACACCATCTCTGTTGAGCATAAAATCTAAACAAATAGCAAAAGATATGTAATATAAAAAATATTTTTGATTAATATAAGAAAATTCAAATAAACTGATAATTTCATTAAAAATTAAAATAAATAGATGATTCCATCATCTATACAAAACTAATATTTTTATATATAAGATACAATAAAACTGACACTTTACATAAATTGATATAAGTCTGTCAACATACAAATATTTTGATTAATGACATAAATTGATAATAAGAACACATATTTATCATGATTAGTAAAAAATATTAATATAAGTAATTTTGCAATATCAACTACAAACTTTAATTTGTTAGATAGGACAATAATAGTTAAGACACTATAACGAACAAAAAAAAAAAAGAACACAACTGTATAATAGAGAACAAACACATAAAATTAAGAATAATTAAGAATAGTTAAAACCTTTTTTTATTGTCGTAAAGTATTATATTGATAAAGCCAAGAATTACATTGTACTTTAAATCCCAGCAGAATCCATTACAACCCAATTTAAAACTCATTTGCTAAGTCTATCAGAAAAAGCAATACACATTAATTAGACACGTGGACCCATGTGTTTTCTTTAGGGCTGAGGAGAAAGATGAGCAGGTACACCACCACTTTGTTCCACCGCCGTGTCGAGGATTCAACAAAATCCAACCCAGAAAGCATCGAAATTACCGCTGCAAAATCCAATCCGCAAATCACCGCCGAATCCTCTTGAACGTTAAAATCTAGTAAAAAAAATGATAATCATGAGTAAAAAATAATGATTTAACGATATA